CTGGGCGTCCCCCCCCAGACAGGCTCCGTTCTTGTGCTCGGAACAGCCTACGTCTTGGGCATCACCGAAGCTCACAGAGGAGGGGCCCGAGGCTCTTGAGAGGTGACCTGTGGTGAGCTGCAGAGCCAGGGTGGGGCCTGTGCCCGACTGTGTGTACCAAGCTGGGCGGTGAGACCGCCTGCCCTCCCCACCACACGCCCGTCTTACACTTCTGACCCTCAGCACCGAACCTGCACTTCCCTCTTGGTTCCCACGTTGAGCCCTGATTAACCCTGTGTGGGTGCTTACCTGCCTCCAGCCCTGAAGTGTCAGCCCCCTGAGCGGTTTTGTCGTGTTTGTGTCGCCTACAGGGCCCTGTTCAGCGGGTGGAGAAGCATCCAGCAGTCCTTGAGGACCCAAGACTGGAGATTTTAGAGGTTGGAGGTAAACATTCTCAGTGCTGTTCGTGGGCCTAAGCTGCAATTGGCACTTCGAGAAAGTAAAGACAACTGGCAAACCAGCTCCTGTCTGTAAGCCGTAGGAATGAAATAAAGCGCCCCCAGAGCGTCACCTCCCGTTTCCAGCCATCTGTTGCCAAAGATATTACATGTTTATTACAAGACTCAGTGCCTATAAAGCAGGTGTCTCGTGGGTGAATGAACTGTATAACCTCAAAATATTTACTTGGGCCCATTTTATTCCCTGGAACAGAAGCTTCTTCCTGTCGGCAGCCTTCTGTTTGGCTTTTCTACTTAGTTCTGATCCCGTACATTGCCGTTCCTTTTGAAGTTTTCCAGCATGTTTTATCAGAGGAACCGCCCCACACCAGGCTCTGTATTCTGAGTTTTGTGGCTGTAGAGATGGGCAGACCTGTCCACACAGAACTCTTCGCCCGCTGGAACATCACTGTGACCCGTAAACTACCTGTGTACATTAAGTGATGCGGCCACTGATCCCACATGACACATGAATATATCTTTCATCATTGGAAAGGTTTAAAATAAATGTGTATTTGTATTAAATTCATGTTCAGATTTTTTTAAAAATGGGCTTGAAGAGGCCTATATATAGAAACAATTCCCTGCCTCATCCTTAGTCTCACCAGAAGTAAATTTGCCCCTCATTCTTTCAGATGCTCTTGTATTATTGTTTTTACCACTCCCTGCCTCCTGCACATCCGGTGGTCAGTCAACGGCCAGGTTAACTGCTCTTCAGAGCAGAGGGCACGGGACCCAAGAGAGCTGCTGAAAGAATGCCCAGGGGAAGGGCAGGGGAGGTCTCAGGGTGACCCCGCTGTGCACCAGGCAGGAATCAGCACCCCCCCCCCC